ACGCAGCCCGGACTCTGTATCTGGCCCCCTGGCCTGTGATAGTCCCTGGTGAGTAGCCAGAAGGACCCTGTCTCCATGACGGGTAACCAGGCGGGCTCAAGCCATTCCTGCGCCCCGGCCAGTGGGGCACATGTGCGGCTCCACCCCCGGGCGCACGGCGCGTGCACGGCCTTGCCCCCCAACGCGCTGCGCACCTTACAGCTGCCATCAGGCGCCCCCATAGGTTGGCACCCCGGGGCAGCTGCCCCGCTAGCCACCCTATTAATCCGGCCCTCAGGGTAACAGGTGGGTTGGGCAGGTTTGGTTCAGGCCACCTGGGGAACACAGTGTATCTCTTACGAAAGCAAAACCCAGCGTCATGTCCCTGCCAGCGGGGCTGACGCTGGCAAGGGAGCCTGGTGAAACCCGCCAGGCAGATCACGGAGAAACTGCACCAGCTGCACCTTCGTAGCCTGCAGTGACAGGCGTCTGCCGAGCGCGCACCGACGGGAATTCACAGCCCCCCCCCGCCGAGCCAACCTCCCCGGGGAGAAGACTGACAACCCCGAGAGCGGCAGCACAAGGAGGAATCCCGCGGAGCGCCCCTCTGCAACCCGGCCGACCCAGCGGCGGTGCGGCTGGCTCGCGCCCAGGGATTCTGAGATATCCTAATTAGCCATTTGCATTTTCAAAGCCCTTTCCCCGGCTGCAGCTGCCTCAGAAACTTCTCCTGAGGGGATTTCTCATGCCTCTGATCGGGATTCCAATGCGGCTCGGGGCGAGGGAGAATCCATTCGGGGCGTCTCTCTCTGCGCCAAGGCCCCTCGGGGGGAGCCCAGCATGGCTGCTGCCAGCACTGGAGGGGGCAGGAATTAGCCATTTGCATTTTCAAAGCCCTTTCCCCGGCTGCAGCTGCCTCAGAAACTTCTCCTGAGGGGATTTCTCATGCCTCTGATCGGGATTCCAATGCGGCTCGGGGCGAGGGAGAATCCATTCGGGGCGTCTCTCTCTGCGCCAAGGCCCCTCGGGGGGAGCCCAGCATGGCTGCTGCCAGCACTGGAGGGGGCAGGAGAAACCGTGGGATGAGATGCACCTGGCTGGCAGGAACTGGGGCTGAAGGAAACGTTTGGTAACCAGGAAGCGCCTCATGAGTTGAGGAATTAAATTCCTAGCGGAAGGGTCGGACGCCTCAGCAACTGGACCCTTGAAATCCGGACGGGACAAACCCTGTTGGGAGCAGGCTGCGTTGGCAAGGGAAGAGGCCATAGGAGAGACGCTTTCAAAGGCTGTCTTGGATCTGGGATAACAGATCATCATTCCCTTCCTCCCTCTCTCCATGCGAATACCTAGGCGCCCTGTTCTCTGGCTTTCCCCAACCGTGGTGGATAAAGAATGGCTGAATCAGGGAGGAAGACGGGAATTGTGGGAGGCAGGGTTGTGCAGCCTGGGCAAGCAAAGCCTTCTCCCTCCCCATGGCAACGCAGGGTTTTCCAGGCCGGGCCCCACATTTCCAAAGAGTCTATGGGGCCCACGGTGGCCATGGACAGCGGCTGTGCCGTGCAGCCGGGCATCTCCCAGCCAGGGCAGTGGGGCCCTAGGAACCGCCTTGCCCCAAGGCCGGGCCTGCCTCAGCTCCAGCTGCCATAGAGCCTATTTTGACCGAGTGGTTTGCTGGGCCTGCCCTAGCGATGGGCTTTTAATGGGGAGCGAGCTCGGGCTGATTCGGGAGCTGCTCTCAGGTGCCCTTCTGGCACCGGCCCCTGTGGGACGCAGCCCAAACATGGGGCCTGTCTGTGCTCACCTGCCCCCAGCCTTCCCTCTGAGGGAGGAAAGGGGGGGCCTGCCCCGAGGCGCAGCCGGCCCAGCGCCCGGCGCACCCACACAAGGGATGTCAGTGGAGAGATGTCTGCAATGAACTGGGCTGGGGGGTGTCTCATTTTCATAGAATCCTAGACCACTAGAACTGGAAGGGACCTCGACAGGTCATCGAGTCCAGTCCCCTGCCCTCACGGCAGGACCAAGCAGCTCTCCAGGAGCTACTCACCCACGGAAGCCTGAGTCAAGGGATTTTCTCTGCCTCCTCCTGCGCATTCCCTCCCAAACTCCCACACTCCAAGCCAGGAGTCTGGATCCAGAGCAGCAGAGACAATTATCCTCGTCCAAGCTGGCCAACAAGCCAGCGCCTTGCGAGGACTTTCACCCTAGCCAGTATGTCTTGCACAGCGGGCCAGGCTCAGCTCTGGGGCAGTTCCAGGGTGCATCGGCCCAGGCCTGGCTGTCACAGAGCAGCTGCGGGGGGGAGAGGCCAGGTGCGCACGCGTGGGCTGAGCAAGCGAATGAAGCAACCTCTCCGTGGGCTCCTACCTGGAGAAGGTGTTCCTGGCGTAGTGCATGATGCTGTCAAAATCGTACGTCTCCCCCAGGGACTCCACCTCCTCAGGCTCCATCTTCAAGAAGTTATACTCCTGCCCTGCGGAAAGCGGGGGAGACAGAGGCACGAATAAGGCGAGGCCAGGCAACAGTCCCTCTAACGCGTTTTTCTATCCATTTGCGGAATAAATTTTGTTATATGCACCAAGGCATGTGTCGATGTGCACCACCAATAGAAACACATGCTGTGGGCAACTGTTCCAATCAGCTTGGCAGCAGCTGAATCTCTCCTGGGTGGCCACCCAAGCACCCAACTTACAGGATAAACTGACCCCAGGTGGGGAAAATCTTGGGAACCCGGATAAGCCACACGTGTCCTTGATCTAGCTCTCTCCCCTCGAGCGTGGGCCGACTGCTGCCATCCTCAAGGGTGGCAGGTGTGGGGAGGAAGGAGAGGGGAGGGCAGTGGAAAGGAATGGAGGAGAGAGGCGTGCAGGGGCCTTTACCTGGCTGGATGTTCTCCCGGACGATGGAGACGTGGTCGTCCCGGTCTGGGCGTGTGTGCTCATGCCAGAAGCCGATGACGTGGCCCAGCTCGTGAACCACGATGCCAAACTTGTCGCAGTTCTTGCCAATGGAGATGGCCTGAGGTCCCCCTCCTCTGTGGCCCACGTAGGAGCAGCACCTGGGGGTGGGGAAGGGGGAATCAGAGCCCCATCCAACCCCATGCGTAGCAGGAGTGAGAAATCTGCCAGCCAATCAGCAACACTCCTTGGTGCTCAGGGGGAGAGGCCAATATGCCAGTCTTCGAAGGGTTAATGCTCTTAAAGGTACACACCTCCCCTGGGGCTAACTGGTCTGGGATTAGACTTAGGTTCCATCCATCATCCCTGCATGAGCAGGACGCTGCCACCGCACAATAGCGCGGCAGCAGCTCCGCCGGAGGCAGCACATATGGGAAAGCGTTACTCCGTGGAAACTTTTCATGGCCTGCCCGTGCTTTATTTCAATGAAAGCCCCTGCAGCTCCAACTCCAGTAGGGGCCCCGTCGGAAACCGGGGAGACTCAGCCAGGGCTGCAGCTGCCTGAGGGATGGAAAAGTGAAAGCTGGAAAAGCGAAAGTGGGGGGAGGGGTGCGAGAAGCTGCTCCAGGTGGGGATGGGGGAACGTTAGGATGGAGTAAGACCTGGCCTGGATCTTTGCCTGGGACTAGCCTGGGGTTAACTCCTAAGAGCAATCGTGTTTCCTCTCTGCAGCCCTGCGCTCAGGCCAGGACTGGACGTGGACGAGCCAAAATACCATCAGGAAAGCTCCTTGGCCAGGCTGCAGGGACTCCGAGAGCCCCGACAAGAGCTCACCTCTGGGGCTAGACTCATTCCAGCTCAGAACCAACCCCCTGCAGTCACTGGACACACCTTGGGCTAGACCCGCAGGAAAGCAAATTTTTATAATTAACATAGATGCATTGGAGAGGGTCCAGCGGAGGGCAACCAAAATGATGAGGGGGCTGGAGCACACGACTTATGAGGAGAGGCTGAGGGAGTTGGGTCTGTTTAGTCTGCAGAAGAGAAGAGTGAGGGGGGATTTGAGAGCAGCCTGCAACTTCCAGAAGGGGGGTTCCAAAGAGGACGGAGAGAGGCTGGTCTCACTGGGGGCAGATGGCAGAACAAGGAGCAATGGTCTCAAGTTACAGTGGGGGAGGTCTAGGTTGGATATTAGAAAAATCTATTTCACTAGGAGGGTGGGGAAGCGCTGGAATGGGTTCCCTAGGGAAGTAGTGGAGTCTCCATCCCTAGAGGTGTTTAAGTCTCGGCTTGACAAAGCCCTGGCCAGGTTGATTTAGTTGGGATTGGTCCTGCCTTGGGCAGGGGGCTGGGCTTGATGACCTCCTGAGATCTCTTCCAGCTCTATGGTTCTATGATTCTATGTTATAATTCTTAATCCAACCCCTCCCCCCCTCAATCCCTTCCATGAGAGGATCTCAAAGCACTTCACACAATAAGCCCCCTTAGTCCCTTGCGGGAGCAGGTCCGTGTTGTTACCACCACTGTGCAATATGGAAATGGAGGCCCAGGGGTGCAAAGTGATCTGCCCAAGGTCACCCAGCGAATCAGCGGCGGAGTAGAGCACAAGTGTGCTAACTCCCATGGCTGTGCTTTCATCTCTAGGCATGGGGCGCTTCAGCTCTGCACGCAGCCTTTTAGGCTGGGGTTTCCCAAGAGGCCCTATGGGAGTCAGGTGCTCCTATTGTGTTTCCAAGTAAAGCAGGTACCTAACTCCCCTAGGCTGCTTTGCAAAGTCTCAGTCTTAGTTCCCAGCTTGCGCAACTCTGCTCCCCCCTTGGCTCTGGGGAACAGGGTCCCCAGCCCCACTCACCCACAAGGCCTGTGCGTGAACACGATGTAGCTCTCTTCGGTATTGCGCTCCAAAAACGTCACGCAGGTGTGCTTCTCCCAGTGGCGCATGGCCTGCCGGAAAATCGCCCGCTGGCTCCCTGCAAGAGAGGCAGGAGGAGACCAGTTACTGAGACGCTAAGCCCCGTGGGGTGTTTGTTCTCTGAATGTACAGCGCCTAGCACCAGGGGACCCGGGTCCATAACTAGTGCTCCTAGGTGCTACGGTAATACCGATCATCATCACAACAGGCCCTGCAGAGGTGGGTGAGGGGCACGGAACCCTATTGCACCTGCGAGAGCATCGTGCTCAACAATCTTTCACTCTTACGTGGAAATGTGGAACTGCAGGGCCAGATTTTCCAAAGAGCCCTGCACCCAGCAGCTGTGTTCACAATCTACAGGCCTCTTACCAAAAGAGGCAAGAGTCATCACTGGCGTCCGATCACATTCACAGCCGGGAAAAATGCATCACAGACCGTGACATCTGATCTCCCCTGTGAAACGTGGCCTCTCGTGTACGTGTTCCCGATAGGATGCTCATTTCACCAGCATTTTTCAAACTTTTGTCCTGACTCAAAAGGAGGGCACAGCGGGGTGGGGGCTTGCAAGGGTAATGTAGGAAGGTCGCAGTGCTCCTCTCTTATTTCTGTGCTACCTTCAAAGCTGGAGAGCAACAGCTGCTGGCCGGGCACCCAGCAGCTCTGAAGGCAGCCCAGCTCTGAAGGCAGCAGCCTGCCAGCAGCAGGGCAGAAGTACCAGACCAGGGTATCCTGACTTCTGTGCCGGTGCCTTCAGAGCTGGGTGGCCGGAGAGCAGCAGCTGATGGGCCAGAGAGAGCCCTGATCTGAAGGCAGCAGCACAAAAGGAAAGGGGGCAATATCGTACCAGGCCATCCTGACTTCTGTGCTGCTGCTGGCGGCCACTCCGCCTTCAGAGCTGGGCTCCCAGCCAGCAGCCATCGCTAAATTAACTTTAGTCCCCACCACCACCTCTTTTAGGTCAGGGCCCCTGCAGTTACACCATCAAGACATTTCAGGTGCAGATATCTGAAATCATGACATTCATTATTTTTAAAAAATCCTATGACCATAAATTGGGTAGGGTCCGAGTCATCATTATCCTCATTTTAAAAGCTGGGGAAACTGAGGCACAAAGCTGCTCATATACAGCCCCACAGCAAGTCTGGGGCAGAGCTAGGAAGAGAACTCAGGTGTGTAGGCTCCCAATCCCCTGCTCTAACCACTGGGCCACATTGCTGCCATGTAGGAGCACAGCTTGGCAATGAAACTTGCTCCCTGCGGGCCCAGCCAATCGCCCCCACTCACCACTGAAGTTCCCGCTGATCACGTAGGGAATGACCCCGTCCGGCCACACCCTCTCATGGCGGGAGGTGGCTGCGCGGCGGCTCCGAGACCGCACCTGTCTCCATTGTCTCTTCCGCTGCCGCCTGGCCGCCAGGCTGGTGCTGATCCCTAGGGGCATGAGAGCAGCGACGGCAGAGGTGTGACCATCTCCTATAGTCCAGGGGACCCTCACCGTCCCAGGCCAAATCCCCCTGGTGTAACACCACTGCCTTCGGTTACACCAGCGATGGACCCAGCCCAACCAACCCCACACCCCAGGCCAATCACTAATCCACCCGCCCTTCCATCCGTTCTGGGGTGATGGCTCCGAGGCCCAGCGTGAGGGTCATGATATAGGGACTAAGCTGAGACCATCAAACTCATTCACGAATGCGTCTGCGTCACACTGGAACCCAGCACTTCACAGTGGAAACCCAGGCTGGACCCCAGGGCTAGCCCAGATTATAGGCAAAATGAACATAAGAACGGCCGTACTGGGTCAGACCAAAGGTCCATCTAGCTCAGTAGCCTGTCTGCCGACAGTGGCCAGCACCAGGTACCCCAGAGAGGGTGGACCGAAGACAATGATCAAGCGATTTGTCTCCTGCCATCCCTCTCCAGCCTCTGACAAACAGAGGCCAAGGACACCATTTTATCTCCTGGCTAATAGCCTTTTATGGACCTAACCTCCATGAAATTATCTAGCTTCTCTTTAAACTCTATTATAGTCCTAGCCTTCACAGCCTCCTCTGGCAAGGAGTTCCACAGGTTGACTACACTGTGTGAAGAAGAACTTTCTTTTATTAGTTTTAAACCTGCTACCCATTAATTTCATTTGGTGTCCTCTAGTTCTTCTATTTAGGGAACTAATAAATAACTTTTCTTTATCCGCCCTCTCCACACCACTCATGATTTTATAGACCCCTATCCTATCCCCCCTCAGTCTCCTCTTTTCTAAACTGAAAAGTCCCAGTCGCTTTAACCTCTCCTCATATGGGACCCGTTTCAAACCCCTAATGGACTAATCCAGGGGTGGGCAATAATTTTGGAGGGGGCCACACCAAGAATTTGGTGGGTGGGCATGATATTAATGGAGGAGGGGCGGTGTCTGGGACGGAGCCTAGGTGCAGAGCAGAGATTGGGGTAGGGGATTAGGGTCTAGGAGAAGGTGCGGGGGTTGGGAGGGATCTTGAGCTTGGGGGTTGGGAGATTCGGTGTGGAGGTTGGGGGTGAAGGAGGGCCACTCAAATAGGCCAGCTGCAGGGGGCATGTGTGTCTCCATACCCCACACGCCCCTACAGGGAGGACTCTCCGTGCGCTGCCTGTACTGCAAGCATGGCCCAGGCAGCTCCCGTTGGCCAGATTCTGACCAATAGGAGCTGTGCGATGGTGCTGGGGGCGGGGACAGTGATGCACCCCCGGGGGTACGCAGCATGCAGAGATGCAAAAGGCCCCTGTAGCCGGGCGTGCTGAGCGGTGTGCGGGAGCGTGGCAGGCAGGGAGCATCCGGCCCATGTGGGTTCCGTGTGTGGCCCATGACACAGTTTGTTGACTGCTGCCCACACGCGGGGTGGCCAGGTTCTGCTGGGTTTTGTCCGTGTATTTTTTTCCCTACTGATATTACTACAGTAAAGCCAGGGCCCGTGAAGGGAGGGGCGTGCGGATCACGCACACAATGCCTGTGAGAGCCGTGCGCCCCCCCGAACCCAGTCCCAGCGCTGCCACGGTTCCGTCAGTGCCCCCTCCACTTTCTAGGGATGCCAACGCAGTGAGCAAAATCGTGTGGCCCACGGAGATGAAGGAAGGCCACTTATGCAGCTCACTCACTAGCGTAGGTTGCCCCTTGCTTAGCCTGGGTCTAAATAACTCCCCTTATTCTGAAATAACAAGGCAAGCGTCCACACTACCACGCCTGTTACTTCGCAATAACAACTCCTGCTTGCGAAGAGCGATAACGCTTTGGGGATGTCGAGACTACATTGTTTTTTCGAAAAAACTGCCCCCTTTTTGAAAAAACTTCACCTGCGTCCACACTGCAATCACGTTCTTTCGAAATTAAATCGAGAGAATGCAGAGGTTTTTCCGACATTGGTAAACCTCAGGTTACGAGGAAGAATGTCTTCTTTGAAAGAGCTCTTTCGGAAAAAGGCGTGCGTGGACGCAGAACATTTTTCGAAAGAGGAGGCAATCGAAAAAAGCCCCGGTGGCCATTCTGTGCATAGCAATCCAGGCTTTCTCGAGAGAGCATCCATGCAGTCTGGATGCGCTCTTTCGAAAAAGCTGATGGCTTTTTCGATCCGGTTTTGAGGTGCGGATGCTCTTTCAGAAGAAGCTTGCAGTCTAGACATACCCTTAGCTAGCAATTGTTATTTTGGGCGTGGTTATTTCAAAACCGGTGATTTTGAAATCATTTCCCAGCGTAGACATGCCCTCCTATAGGCGCTGGGGTTATGCGGGGGCCGTATTTGGCCCAGGGATCCCTCGCTGGTGCACAGGAGGAGATTTTCATGAGTGATTTGGGGTGCCCAAGTCGAGGCCCTAAAGGAGAGCGTCTCGGCCGCAACGCACCACGGTGCCCACTTTGTCTGAGGCATGATGGCGCATGAGGTAGGAGAACCACTGATGGAGAAAAGCTGCTAGCTCCCCAAGGGTCTGTCCCTCCGTGGCCCGTGGCAGGACTTTGCCCTCTGGCCTCTCCCCTTGCACGTTACCGAGCCCAGCTAGGACCGTCTCACGCCACGGGGGCGTCTGCTCTTCTCCGTGGGGAGCGTCTCCCTGCGGCCCAACAGACCCCACCGCCAGGGAGACAGCAAGACTCGTGGAGAGATCCCCAGCAACTCCAGCCCAGCCCGGGGAATGCGAGCGGTTAAACAGCTCAGCAGGGTGGGAACTGGCCCCCGGGAGCTGGGGCGCCTTTGTCTTCTCCCAACCGGACACGCCGCCTGCAAATATTGGCCGTGGAGCCCTGCCAGCAGGGGCTGCCCCCTTTTCAGCCTCTCTCAGCTGAACTAACAGTGGCACAGCTTGCGGGACTGGTGACCCCTGAGTCTCAGCAGGAGGGGAGACGGGGTCTGTGCAACCCTCCAGCCCTGGCCAGGCTGTTCTGTTTGTCTTCAGTGCAGGGGGGACAGAGAGCGGGGAGAAAGGCAGGAGAGCGGGGCTGGGGAGTCCAGCTGTGCCAAATGGCTCCCGTGCACAAGCCAGAGCAGGAGGACGTCTCAGTGCAAGAGGGTCTGGGACTGGCAGGCAACACAGAAAGAGACCCATGGGGATGGGGAAGTGAGCTTCCTATCCGTGGCTCTGGGGGCTAAACCCACGAGCTCCACGGCCTGGGCTCTCAGGCGCTACGGGTCTACAAACAATCCTGATAAACTTGCATCGGAAGCCGAGAGGGGGCAAATTAAACCTCTTCTCCGGTCCCTGCTGCATCTTGCTCCTTCTGAGAGAGCGACTAGACCAGCCCCGCCGGAGACAACCAGGGAATGAATAAGAAGCATCCATGCTTGCCATCCCTGGTGCTCCAGGGCCTGTGTTGTGCTCTCCATTTCCAGGCAGCGTCAAGCAGACAAAGTGACTCACCCAAGGCCACACAGCATAGCAGTGGCAGAGCCAGGAACGTGGGGCCTCATGACGCTCAGGCCAGTGCCTTACCACTGGGTCAGGAGCTCCCTTCTTACAGCGACCTTTTATATAGAGGTTTATAAAATCATGAGTGGCGTGGAGAAAGTGAATCAGGAAAAGTTATTTACTTGTTCCCATAATCTAAGAACCAGGGGCCATCAAATGAAATTAATGGGCAGCAGGTTTAAAACAAATAAAAGGAAATTCTTCACACAGCGCACAGTCAATCTGTGGAACTCCTTGCCTGAGGAGGTTGTGAAGGCTAGGACTATCACAGGGTTTAAAAGCGAACTAGATAACCTCCATGAATTTAAGTCCATAAATGGCTATTAGCCAGGATGGGTAAGGAATGGTGTCTGTGACCGTGCCCCTTCGGTCTGGTCCGGGGGCTGGCCAGCTTCTCTTTAAATGGGGTGGTCTTACCCCTCACGTTGGGGTTTTGGTTGTATTTTCCTTCTCGGGCGGGGGAAGGAAGGGGGGCCCGGGCCCGCCCTCACTCTTGGGCCCCAGCCCAGGGCCCTAAGGACTGAGACTGTGCCCCAGTCTCGGTCCGGCTGACGGGGTCGTGCCCCTAAACGTGTCAGCCCACGGGCTGTTTCGCCGCCCTGCCCTGGGCTACTTCCTTCCTCCCCCCC